AAGAACAGAGAAAGGAGAAAAAGAGAAAAAGAAAGTAACATGCAGGGTTAATCACTAATCACCTTAACACTAAGGTTAATCAGAGTGACTAAAGGCACCTTTTTCCAACCCATGTTTTGGCTGCCCTGCACACCTCAAGCAGGATTTGCACCCCGGGCCATGTATGTTCGGTCTATGATGCAGGCTGCAGAGCACCCTGAGGGGCAGGCAGCCGCCAGGGGAGCGTTGGGCTGAGCCTCCCCAGCCGGCGGGGAGCTGGGATGCTCCTTGGGGAGCATCTGAGGTGCATCTGAACCCAGGGAGGCTGCAAAGGACAGTCCTGCCCCACAGRGAGGCTGCAAGGGCCAGTCCTGCCCGCTCAGGAGCAGAGCGCATCCCTGCCACACTCCCACGAGGACACAGTGCCACCCTGTGGAAACTCCTCCTCCTGCTGCGGGGACAACCCGCAAGCGCCCGCAGCCGCTGCTGGCAGCCKCAGCGCTGCTCAACACTCAGTACTGAAGCTGCTGATGTGCCAGCAAAACGCAGGCACTTGAGTGCTGCGCTGATCCACAGCCCCCTGAATTTAATTTGTTGGGACTAATGCAGGCTTAATTTCTGTTAAATCTTTGTAATCAYGTATCTAGTGTCGGGGCGGCTGCTGCAGATGCAGTGACGGAGCTGCTGAAATGCAGTTGCTGCCACTCAACCCCAATGAAAAACAAACGCCATGAGTGTCCAGGGATCAGCTGGGCCCCAAGAGGTCTCCAGGGAACAAGATGACGGAATAACCCTTCTCCCCTAAGGCCAGGGCAGCACACAGTTGGGGCAAACCGTCCCAAACGCAGCGCATTCCAGCCTGTCGCCTCCAGAAGAACCTCAGACCCAGTGCCTGGCCTAGGGTGGGTGGCAAAGGGCATGCTGATTGACTGAAGGTCAGCACTAAAAGCTACGACTCCATCCCCATGGCGTAACTCTGCCAGCAGGAAAACAAACAGCAGGTGAACACCAAGAGACGTCTCCTCTCAGCATCCCAGGAAGGTTATTTAAACAGAGCCCAGAGACCTATTATGCAATAAGGGCTGTAATTAGCTTGCAAATTAATCTCAACACATCTCTTGATGGCAGAGTGGGAAATAAGCTTCCTAGGATTTCTTTTTTTTTAAGTGGTGATGATGCTGGCAGGTGAATAGTCTGCATCCAGGTTTAAAAAAAAATGTAATTAATTTTAAAAAGAGGGTCTGYGTTTATAATGTCTACTCTCTACCATGTACTGAGGCAGAGAGGTCCAAGATAAAGTTCCCTGAAGAAGCTACAAAAAACAGCAGGAAATAGCAAATGCTAAAAAGCAAATTCAGTCACATTTAACTACGCAGATGTGTCTGCATTTCAGAGCAGGATTGACACAAGCCCACTGAAGGGATGGCAGATCCTCCCATTTACTTCAATAGGCTTTGGGCCACATCTCAGATGCAGCAATCTCTCATTTTTATTTCCATTACCAAAATATTTATGAACTCCAGCGTAAGCGCTGTTCTCTTCATTCAAACAGACTGGCATTTCATTCCAGCCATCACACAGAAATAAGCAAAACACTCTCATTATTATTGACAATAAAAAAAGATTCATCCCGCTCAGCCTCTTTTAACTGTTTTTCAGATTCAACTCCTGGCATAAACTTAATGAACAAAACCTGCAGCAAAGCAGCCTGTACCAGGCAGCACATACTCGGCAATAATCTGAAATTACATCTCCTGCTCTAACGTGAAAACCCCAAAGCACCTTTGTTGAAGAAAACACATCTCCCAGACATGCAGTTCAGTATTTGACATACATATACAACAGTGGGCATTCTTTAATCTGGTTTAATGAGAGAGAGCTCCCAGAGCTCCCACAACGTCCAGCGCGGTGTTCAGGCTCTCCTCCCCATGCTGCAGGGGGTCTCAAACACCTTCTAGGTCTGGCAGTMCAAACTCTGTGCACATTCTGGGTGGAGAAACGTGCCCATTCCCTGCCATGCTTGAGAAGCAAGGTTCAGAAGTAGGGTGTTCTGTTTGAACCAGGCATCGTTAACTGAGACCATTAAACCCACACTCTGCGGTTCATTTCTTACCTTCAATAGCCCCCTAGGGAAATCTTTGCCATCATTCATCCCCTGGAGATTAGCAATGAACTCCTGACAGGTCATCTTCTTCCCAATGTTCTGGAAGGGACAACAGAGAAACACAGCATCACATTCCTGCTGCTTTCCAAAATGACAGTAGCAGGTAACACCACAGGAACTGCATCTCCTCGCCTTCGCTCAAGCCTGAGGCAGGCAATCCTGAGAGGCATTCCCAGAATTGTCCAAATGCAAGCGTCACCATGTGAATATATTTGGAACACAGGAGATGCCCTTGAACCCCAGGTCTCCCACCCATCTGAAAAGAAAAAAAAAAATCTAAACACTGGAGATGAGTAAAGAAGATGGTGATGAAGCTCCCTCATTTGTTCATGGTACCTCCCATGTCCTCAGGGGCTCTACCTACCTCCTGCAGAAGAGCTCTACTTAATCCCATAGTGGAGCATAGGAAAAAAAACAACTGAGGCCCTTTCCAGACCTTTCTTTCTGATCTCCAATCCTCATTTCCCATGGCAATTGCCAGACAAAAGCAAAACATCCAAGAGCAGCCCCTTGATTCTGCTTCCTGGGGTTGAAGCTGCCTTGGCATCTCAAAAGGTTTCTTTTGTTTTCTTCACTTTCTGCCTAATTCTCAGAATGGAAGTTACCAGATTGAGCCGTGACGAGAGCAGGAATGACTGTGTTCAAGCAGGACCCAAACTATTCCATTTGGAGAGCACTCTCAGATGCTCTTTGGATCCAAGTCCAAGCTCTACCACTTGCAGAAGGTGTCAGTCCTAGGTCCTCATGGCGCCCRGGGCACTAAAACCCCACAGCTGCCCATGGAGGTGACAGCAATGACAACACTGGTCTGGCAGGAGGAGGAATCAAGGCAGATCTCAGAGGGAACAGGGGCTCCTGGGTCTGACTAGAGCTGGCCAGGGGTGAGYGCTGGCCCTGCAAGCCTCCTCCTGCAGCACAGGGTCCCTCCCCATGGGCTCCATGTGCCCACAGGAACACGCTGCAGGGCATGTGGTTCCCCTCTGCATGGTGGGCTGCTTGCTCTGCCCCTGAGGAAGGGCCCATGGGCTGCAAGCCCTGCTCCATGCCCTATCAGCCAAGCGCATCTGCAGCCTGGAGAGAAAGACTCTGCGCGCAGGCACGGAGCTAGCGAACTTCCAGAGCCCAGACTAATGCAGCAGCAGGGCCCCAAGAGGGGATCAAACTATAAGCAGGTCACTCAGCATCTCGGCTGTACGATGCCTTGGTCTGAAGCCACCCAGCCTCTGCTGCCCCATCTAAGGACGGGTCCTGGAGGGGCAGGGAGGGAGGGCAGAGGGGGACGCACAATCCAGCACCATCTACGCCAGGGGGGCTCCTAACAGAGCAGCGTGGCTGCTGCTTGCCAAGCAGGGCACAACTCCTCCCAGCACAACCCCAGTGCACTGCAAGCGCTCTCCCTGACACCATTCCAGTCTGCCCATTTCCTCCAGGGATCAGCTTGGTGCTTCCTCWCGCTGACCAGGACCAGCGCTAAGAGCCAGCCTCGTTCCACCTATGGAACCCCGCTGAGAAAAGGAGCAGGGCAGGGACATGGCTGTGTTCGCTCCAGGAGCAAAGCCAACACCTCCACGTGGCACCACACAGGTCCGGGCAGATGAATCTGGCAGGATGCAGCTCTGCCAAAAATCTAGAAAACTGCAAACATGGCAAAGGGCATCAACTGGGCAGCAGAGAAGCGAGCATGCGTCTCCAGTACACAGTTAGTGAAAATTAATTGTGAAAGCAGAGAGAAAAAGAAGATATGGAAAAACAGTTACAGAAATTTTGTTAAAAAGAGAATGTAATGCAGCAAGACATGAACAAGTAAACGGGTAAGTAAGAGTTTGTCTACAAGAGTTAAGGGAAAGTGTGGCCTCAAGGCACCACAGTTGTCCTACAGCCCCATGATGGGCTGAGCTGGCCCCGAAATGAAGTTGTCCACACTCAGCTGGGAACAAGAATAACTCCGTGTAGACAAGCCCTACGATTCATTCATTCCCTGCTCTAGCAGGATCATGCCAAGGACGGCCTGGAGCACTATAAGCTTGTTAGAAATCAGGCAGTTGAGGTATATGCACAAGGGGCTGCATTCCAAGCCAGAAAGGCCCAACTTACCACCTAGGTGGAAAAACACGGAGCAGCAAGAGGAGAAAGGACTGTTACAGGAAATCCTGGGAGGAGGAGGCAGGTGGCCGGCAGCAGAGCTGCTGCACACGCCGGCACAGCCCTAGCAGGCAGGGCCACCCGGCTCCGGTGCACGCAGCACCCAGCAGCAGTGAAAGGGCAGGGCTCGTGCCCCAGCACCCTGCATGGGGCCCTGCAGGGCTCTTGCGTTCAGGAGGTGCCAGGTGACACTGCCGGGCTCGGGCACGGGGCTCTCCCTGCGGGACGGCAGCACGGGGCGGCTGCAGAGCAGCATCCAGGGCTGCTCATGGCTCTGCAGGGCAGGCTGCACGGAGGCACCTCGTCCATCACAGGCAGCCCAATCCCCACTCCACGGACATGGGAGGTCTCAGGAGGGGCTCRGGATTAACGCTCTGTGCCTGCTGCTAGTGCAGCATGCAGGCGAGATGCAGCCAAACTCCAAAGGCAGCGCTGGTTCCACTGCCCACAACTGCTGCACAGCTGCTCCCAGGGGGTCTCCGGAGGGCACAATAGCTCTGGGGCTCTCCAGGCCGTGCCAAGGACCCCCGTGCTGCGCCTGACCCACTGCCTGTGTGCACGATGCCCCTGGGCCGAGCACCCCTGCAAGCGGCCACTGGCGAAGGTGCCCTCCCTGCGAGAGCTCCCTGGTTCGCCTCCGCCTTCCCGGGTGTTCGTGCCTTCTGGAAGGGGAAGCCAATGCCAACCACAGCTTTCTGGCAGGGTCAGCTGCCTTCCCCAGGATGCACACCCAAAAGACAGGGCCCTGAGGACATGCAGCTTCCTCACACGTAAGGGCAAGATCATGTGCAGCACTGGGTAGTTGCTGCTGGGTGTGCTGGAAAGCCCCCTGCCTAGGACTGCAGCTCTTCCAAAGAGAGATTTCCCATTTCTTTCCTCCATTTGCTGTCTGCACTGGGAATTTACCGGATGCTTCAGTAACAAGCAGCAGTAGAGCCCCACTAGCACAAAGCTGACTTTGGAGTTACACAAAGATGTGTCTACTCACATGGCCATGCAGGTCAGTGTTCAGCAGCATCATGGCACACGTGAGGCAGTGAACCCCATCTGCAGGAAGAAACACAACCCAAGTCACAGGCAAACCCACRGCTGGACTTCTGAGAAGACTGCAAATTAAGCCACAGAGCCTCATCGTGCCTGCTCCCTTAAYGAGAACCCGCTCATCAAGAAATAAACATAATTAAGTAAAACAACAGCAAGGTCATTGCAGAGATGCCGAGGCAGAACAGCCTTCTTTTTTAACTTTCAGTGACTGACAAACGATTGTGCAGTAGCAGTGAGGGAGGCAAACCAGGCAGGAGAACATTCTGTCCCCTTTCCTTCATAACGCCCATACCACAGCCTYAACTGTCTCCCTCTTTTTCACTTGTTTCCAGGGCAGAACATAGAGAACAAGCTTCATCCATTGGTGTCTCAGCCCGCAGGGACACAAACCACCAGACTGTCTCACCACTCAGGTCTGCATAAGGACCACACTCACTGTACCTCCGTGCTACGACACAAAAAGAGGTATGGGAATATGGGGCCAAGATGGGCATGGACATGGCACGCTTTAAAGCCAAGCTTCAGTTTGTGCAGGCCCTGGCAACAGCTCGCAAGAGCCTGSGATCCAGCTCAGGGCTATGTTCTCTTATGTCGTCTGCAGAGGCAGTCTAGCGAAGTGCTGCCTCTCCTATCTAAATCTGTCACCACCAGGGGTAAATTCGGAACAGTTTGGATCTGGGGCTGTGGCACTCTGGTTCAGGTRTCGGCAGGTCCGTAGGGTGGACAGCTCTCCCATTCCCAAATCACAGGCACATCCAAAGGATGGAAACAACAATGGAGGAAAGATGGAAAAAAAAGCAGGTATGAGGACACTCAAATGGCTACTGCAAATACAACCTGCACTTCTACTGAGATGGGCAAGAATCAGAATTACTTAAAATGCCAGAATTTAAATAAATAAAATAAAACTTCAGAATTACTAGGCAAGGTCTGTGGAGGTCACTTTAACCTCAATACTTGCTCATGCTCTGAAGTGGAAATGTCCCTACAGCAACCTGGACTGGCCACATTGACACATAAATCATTTTCTCTATCTGAAAATGACAGTGCTTTTCTAATTGCTTGCTCAGGATATCCTTGAATGAGAAAYGCACTGGGAAGAGCACAGGAATGTGGGAGCTGATCCTGTCTTAAAGCTGCCCATTCCCTTCCTTGACACACATAATGGGGCAATCCCTGGATTTCAGTTGGGAAACATTCAGAATAAGAATTTACACTGAATGTAAGAATTTACAGCCTTCCGTGGCTGGGAGCCACAGTGTTCTCTGCCTGACCACAAGTCTGCATGCGAATGGAAAGGATTTCTAGGCTCACTGCAGGCAAACTGTACACTTTGCAGCTGCAAATTTTCATTTCCCAAGTACTGAGGGTGAAAATGAATGAAGACGCAGACCACAGACCTTGTTATCAGAAGCAAAATTACCTTGAGTCGAAATGGTGTTTGGGTTACACTGATAGTATCTGCTGGAGAAGTGGATTAAAACTCTCTCTCGTTCCTGAGTTTCTCCAATAAGTGAAAAGGCTTTGAAGAAACTCCTACAAGAAGGGTAGAAAACAGCGAAATTAAAATCATAAATCTCTGGTGGCCTCACACAGCACATTTCACAGCAAGTAATATGCAAGCGCACACTAGAAATTCAGTTCTGAGAAGCCTTTCTAGGAAAACAGATTATTACCCCATGTGTACTTAATCCCAACATTACAGTAAATCAACCAGGAGGAGTTGGATTGCTGCTGGTTTCAGCCATTAAATACATAAGCTAATAGACAATTACACCACTTGAAGCAGCTGTTCTTGCTTTCGGTGGTTTCCACGTTGGGGGAAGGAACTGGAGCAGGTGGTGTTGGCAGATGATGGTCTCTCAGGACGCACTCTGCCCTCCTCTCAYTGCCCATGAGTCCTGCATGCTTTAACATTACACTTATTAAATATATCCCCACTGGAAGCAAAGGAATTTCTCCAGGTAGTGAAGCCAGGCAGGTGCAGAACACACTCGGATGTGCAGCTCTCTGGGGAGCAACACACTGAGCAGCCCCTTCACCACCACTGCAATCATCCTGGTCTTGCAGAGGGGCCGTGCATCCCTTGCACAAGGCGGGTTGGGAAGATCTCCAGAGGAGACTCCACAGCCTCCCTGGGCAGCCCATTCCAGGGCTCTGTCACCCTCACAGACATTTGTCATGCTGTTAATATAAACAGCCTGCAAACACGAGCCTTATGGGTCTGAGGCAATAAGGCACATTAAACGAATGCCTGATAGACAATTTTTGAGGCTTCCAAGAGGTTTAAGCTGGCAGCAGATCTGAGGGGCCTGGGAGACACTACAGGAACATTCAAGGTTACCTAACCTGCGTGAATAAGCGCTAATTTTATTTCTCTGATGCAAGGCCAGAGACAGGCTGTTCTTGCCACAGTATTACACACACGCAGAGTGTGATCTGGTGGGTAATAACTTAATTTGACATGTAACGCACTGCAAATAACCACATTCACACGTGGGCACAACCGAGGCTTCCTGGGGCTTCTCGCCTGGCAGCAGGGAGGAATCCTGAGTGGAGAGCAGGCAGGGGAGGCTCTGCCCCTGGAGCAGGGATCTGTGCACGGCACAAACAGGRGGCTCCCTGCACTGTGGGCAGGACAGGGACAGACTCCGGAAGAGCAGGATCCTTCGGGCAGGGCCCAGCCCCCTGGGGAAGGYCCAGGAAGGACTCTGTGGTTGGACATACCGCATCTCGGTGCGCTCCAAAACATTCCTCAACATACTCCCAAATGCTCCTCAAATATTTTGGGCAGCTGAGGATGAAGTCCCCCAGGCTGCTAGTGTGGCTGGCAAGAGGCAACCCCACTAAGTTTTAATGGGCCCACGAGATCATGTTTTACACAAGGTCATAGCTATTAATATTAGCAGGAGATCTACCGGGAGAAGAGACCTCCTAAATATGTGCCACAAAGCAGCTAGGTATAGGATATCACAATTCAAAAGATGAGGTATATTTAGAATCACGCTCCATGGCGCCCAGCACCCAAAACATGCAGCAAATTTCCCACCACAGGAGCCACAACCCCAGCAGGACACAGGACACAGGGCTCTGGCTTTGCTCCATCCAGCATTAGGTGCTGGATTAACTCCTTAGCAGTCTCAGCAAGTCTCAGTCTCTTTGCTGTGCAAAGGTGGGAGCTGATTTTCACCTTGGCTTCCTGGAACAGCCTCCCTGCARCCCTCTCTGCAAATGGGGCCACAAGTGTTCCTGGTTCTGTGTCACTGGTGGCGGGAAGGGAGGAAGAAATAGAGTAACCTGAGACGGAAAATCAAAAATCACTTYAAATTCCTCTCCTTTATGCTGCCATTTAGCTGTCACCAGCAACTAACAGGCCTCTGCTACACAGGTTTGGTATTTTGACTTAGTCTTGACTTTGAGATTTAAAAAAATATTGAAAGCAGAGGCTGCCAAGGCTTAGTTCCAGGGTCGGAAGGACATAAGTGCTGAAGGGATGGGCTTTCAACCACCCACATAAAYGTCTACCAAACACTCCAAGCATTTCCCCTCTGGAAGCTCTTGCTGTTCTGCACATTTTTAGATACCTACGAGGGACGTGGCTGCCAAGATGCTTGAAATCCTGGCCCCTCCTTGCACGGCCAGGCAGAGCAAACTCTACCAGCCCAGACAGCCCTATGGAGTCCAGCCATGAGCAGCACCTTAATTTTCCAGGCAGGTTACTGATGACCTGTTCACTGAGCACACAACCTATCTCTGAGCAGGTCAATGCCCCAAAACGCCCCCTTTCCAGGAAATGCTGTTACGGGCCATGCCAAAATGCCAGGGCCCTCATTGTGCAAGTTCTTCATTTGAGGAACACAGGAAACAGCGCCGTTACCAGAAGAGGAACACCAGTTCTGCCAAGAGGCACTTACCTCAGCGAGTTGTCCAGCGTCATCCCCGTGAAATCAAAAAACTTAAGGTACTCCTCAGCCACCAGCCTGCTGAACTCATTGCTTTAAAARGAAATCGAGAAAGTCTGTCAATCAGGAGCGAACTCTCCACACCCRAGGCTACGAGGTGAATGGCCAAAGGCCTTGCTTTAACAAAGCACATACTTTTTGCCCAGGTGCTTTGCCACGTCGGAGCGTTTGAACCTGTCCAGGCAGTAGAGGCGCTTGGCCAGGCGCCGGGCTGCCTCCACGCTGCTGCTGCCGCCGTTGCTGAGGTCGCATCCGAGCGCTCCCGCGACGTCCTTCTCCCGGGGCTCGCTGCTCCCCATGACGGCGCCGGCCTCTAGCAGCACATTCTGCAGCCTTGCATTGCTGTGGGTCGGCAGAGCGGGCAGGGGGGAAGAAGGAGAAAAACACATCAGTGCTAAGGACTTAATTCCTCCCAGAGTGGGAAGCACTCTGACACATCAAGGTTACGGGATGCAACAAGCCCCACAGAAATGAAGGAAGTGAGTGGGGAAGAGGAGCAGCCGGAGCTCACAGGGTTAAACATCCAATGTTGGATTCCCGCCCTTCACTCTGCAATCACCTTCCCTGCCAAGAGTGAGGAAACACCAGAATTGTGCTAACTTCACAGAAACCTGTGACTACCAGCCCACATATCGGCAGGCTGTCCCGGGGCATCCCGCTGGGAGGTACCGCACGGAGACACAGGGCCTGAGGCCAGGAGAGCTGCTTGGACACGGGGATCGTGGCGGGATCCACGTGTTCCTCACCTGCCCCCTTGTCACTCTTCGCCCCGTGGCCGCATGAAGCCGGGAGCAKCAGCTCTGCAACCCCAGCACACCTGATGCGAGCCGTGCAGCTGCCCAGGCCTCTCACTGCACTCACAGCAGGCAAGTTCTTGCTGTTATTTCGCCTCTCCCCTCAGAGAGGCRAAAATCCTTCCCCTTAGGAAAACGCTCCTCCGCATGCACTCCCCTGCACACAGCTAGGTTGCTTTTATATATTTATTTTTGGATGGCTTTTCTATGACAACTGCATAAAGACACCTGCAAGAAAACAGTTCAGTGTTTGCACAAGMGCATTTTTACCTAAGGAAATGCCACGCAGAACCTCTCTCCGTCACAGCCCCRTTTGCACGGGGCAGAGCAGAGCCAGACGAGGCCACGAGCAGGGAGGGCAGGAGCAGAACGAGTTAAGGGATGATTTTGAACCCAAGCCTGCAACATACCACAGCTTGACGAGCCATTGTAATCTTGGGGCTTGACAAACCCTGGTTACAACAACCAATCACCAGACTCCAGTAACAATTTTCCAGCGATTCGCTGCAGTGTCTGCTAGTCAATTATTAACTCTTTAAAGGTGGGACTTTTGTATAATATGGGCCTTAATTTAAAGATTTCTCCTGCTCTGCATGCGGCCTTCAGTGCAAATCACCACCATGTGGGGCCGTGTGGGGATGCACCTCTCTGCACAGCAGGGTTTATCCAGGAAAGGAGGTGAGCTCCTGTTCCTTTTGCCTCTCTTTGCATCCTCCCAACACCACTACAACATCACTCAGCAAGAGTGGCGACTTTATCACACCCGATGGGGCCTGGGGGTCATTTCATGAAGCATCTGCGTGAACCAGACATCCACTTTTCCTCAGGGGAATCCTGTATTTATTTYGGTGTAAACAGCAAGAGGCTGTGATAGAATTATATAATAACTACGGGGGTTATTAGTGTTGCAAATACAATCCCAGCAGCACTAAGAACACTGCCCACCAGGCACCCTAGAAAAATAATCAGTAAATAAGCAAATAAGCAGCTCCCGCTGTGTGCATCGGTGTGGGAAATTCCACTTCCTCCCCTTGCAAGAGCAGCCCYGAGCACCTGAGACCCTCTCAGGCGGGTCCCGGAGCCCAGACCATCCCAGCCCCCAAGGCGAGCAGGTCATGGCGCAGGCGGGCTGGTGTCGGGCTCCGTTTTGGGGGCACGAAGGGAGCAGGTCAGAGAGTGGGGCAGCGCCGCTCCGGACACTGTGCCTAAAGCCCTGATTTTAAAATCAGGCTCCTAAAACCCCAGCCCCGCTTCACTGCCACTGTTCATCGCGGAGGATCCACAGCCCTCAAGGAGGGCCAAGGCTGAGAGGACACCCACGTTCTGCTGGGAATGGCAGAGCTGCAGGATCTGGCACTGCCACAAACCGCCCCCGGCCTGGGAGAGGCAGCGCCRGCACCTGGTGGAATAAAATAAACATCCATCCCGTCTGTTTTGCCCCGGGGCAGCAGTTCAGAGGGAGAAGGGAACACCCAGGGTGGATAAGGGAGCGCTCTTCCCTTCCCTCTGGAAAAGCCTATAGAGCAAGGAAGATGGAGATAGGAGCTGTCCCAAAGCCTCCCCCCGACGGCGAGTCCCAGGACATTCCACCAGCTCCAACGGTGTCTCGCTGCTATCCTGAGAACAAGGTAACTGCCCGAGGAACAGGCCGCCTACAGCCTGGGCCCCTCGTCCATGGAAAACGTCAGTCGCAGGGTGAGGCCTCAGCTCCCTGGTGCTTCCAGGCGGTGAGGAGATACAGCTGCCCACGCCACGGAAAGCAGGGACACCCCCGGGGAGGCAGCGCTCACCGTCACAAGCCCTGCTCTGCCATCCCTCGCTCCCAGCAGCATCCCATGGGAATCACACCGTCCCGCTCCAGGGAAAGGCTGGCAGCCCCTCTGGCCYCCCGGAGCCGGAGGGAGCATCCCCTTTGCTCCTGTGCCACAGCCTCCTCAGCCTCCCAATGGGGGTACTCGCCAAAGCGCTTCCAGCGGACTCAGATTACGGGGCAGGAATTAGGAAGGCTGGAAATAGCTCTGTCCTCCGCACACAGCCATTTCTGCAGCCCACAGCAGCACTGCCAGCTAAAAAAGAGCTAGGAAACAGATTCAGGGAGACGTGCAATACACAGGCTGGACATGGATTTCTCATCCGGCTTTGCTTATCCCACTTGTCACTTAAAAACAGGGAGCCACCGCTGACAGAAGTGGGCTGAAAATGCAATGAATTTTATTATACCTACCCCTGAAATCACGCGCAAAGGGGACTACGTAGCAGTGCTTGGGGTAACTGTACAGCAACAGCTGCTGTTTTTCACCCAAGCACTCTCACACTAATCTCCAGCATCAGAGAAAAAGAGAAAAACAGAAGCTAGAGAAAAAAAAAGCAGGCTTTTCCCCCTAGYCACAGAGCAGACGAGCTATTACTTTATTGCAGCTCCTTACACCTTCTTATCTCTGTCCTCAGCAAGGCACTTGAGGTCCATGCCCCTACCTCTTGTGCCAGAGCAGCCCTGGACGCAGAGCTGAGCACGCAGCAGTGCCAGAAAATCCACATCCAGCACAAAGCAGAGCGCTCCCGCTGCCGCCGGGACGCCCTCCGTGCCACCTGCAGCAATGCTGCACGCTCCCTGCTGAAACGCGAGCACGCTGCAGCACCCGCGAAGGCACTGCAGTGTCCTGTACCGAATTTCTGGATTAGCCWGGCCAGCGGCAATGTGGGAAGCCCCAGTGCCAAGGTATCGACCGTGTGGTGCTCAAGAACGTAACACACTTGCACTGCTTGAGAATTCTTCAACTTTTTTTTTTTAGTGTCATTTGTCAAAAATTGAAGCCTTCTMCAAGAACGCGTGTTTGCAGAGCAAACCAGAGACCAATAACCTACCGGCAAGGAGAGAGGAGCATCTCACCTCGCACAAGCCCAATTCCCCACTRGACTGCATTGCAAGGTCAGAATGAGCATTTCCAATTCCAGGTGCCTAAGGCACCAGGATGCCATTCCCGTCTTTAGCAAACGCTTGGGAGCAGAGGAGTGCGGAGTGCAGGGGACAGAAACACAGAGTGGTTGAGGTTGGAAGGGACCTCTAGAGCTCATCCAGTCCAACCCCCTGCTCCAGCAGGGACACCCGGAGCACGGGGCACAGGGCGGCATCCAGGCGGGTTGGGAAGATCTCCAGAGAAGGAGACTCCACAGCCTCCCTGGGCAGCCTGTGCCAGGGCTCGGGTACCCTCACAGGGAAGAAGTTCCTCCTCACATGGAGATGGAGCTGCCTGGGTTTCAACTGGTACCCATTGTCCCTTGTCCTGTCGCTGGCCACCACTGAGAAGAGCTTGGTGCCTTTCTCCCTACATTCTCCCTTCATGAACTTAGACATGTTGATCAGATCCCCTCTCAGCCTTCTCTTCTCCAGGCTAAACAGGCCCAACTCACTCAAGTTTCTCCTCATATGAGGGATGCTCCAGTCCCTTAATCATCTTTCT